GCAAAGGCACAACACATTATAAGAAGTTTATATATGAAGTTTTGTTAATTTAAAGTTTCTGGGAAACATTTTTCAGATTCTATTTTAACATTTTACACAATAAGAATTTCCTAATCAGACATTAAATTGAAAGAAATATTGAAAAATTCCCATGCTTTTATTTTCTTTATTCATTCATTTATTTTTTTTTTTTTTTTTTTATTATTATTCTTTTTTTTGGAGGGGGGGGGGGGGGAGAAAATTTGTTTAATCTTAAAATCTCTTGGGCATGTACAGTTATATAATCAATATTATTTTAATTATTACTTATAAACTTAAATATCTTAACACAGTACATCTAATATTTTTATGTACTTATAAATTCTCAGAAGAGCATCATATCTTTCTGTTTGATGTTCTGGTATTTCTTCTTTATTTCATTCACATCTCTGGAGGAACTAAATGTACTTCCACTACGGAAAAAAAAACATGAATCTATTTAACAAACTATAAGAATTTAATATTTCTGTTAACCAGTTGTGGTTAATTTTTAATATTTTATTTTCCATAATAAAGAATACATACATGTACTCATGTAGATACTTTGGAATATCTATTTATAGCTTTCGGGTTTCCCCTTCTGTGTATTTTGCTTTTCTACTAAATTGCATACAATATTTTAAAATCTTGAGACTACTGTATCTTGTATATGCATGAGTTATTTGCTTAAAATCAGCTGTTATAATGCACAGTCCGAGTTTTTAAGTTCGTTAGTGGTTGTGCTTTCGTATAATCACAACTAGGCCTATATATAACTGCATTACTGATAGTATGAACACCGTTGAAACTGCCACAGTCAAGTAGATTTTTAAGACATCATTGGTTTTCTTTTCAATTAGTTTTCATCAAAGTTTTATTTTGTGGCAATGCATAATGATTTGGGGAAAGTGTGGTATGTCAACACTTACGCATTGATTAGGTCAGTGACCTCTTTCCAGGCCTTTGTCTTATCAACAGAAGTCCTCCCTGACCCGTCTAATTTTCCGAAGAGTACCTTCTCCCTCTTCTGTACTTCCTCCACTAATGTAATCTCGTCCCTGGGGTCCCAGTTACTTTTTCTTGATCGTTTTTTGGGAGTTTCTGCATCCATTGCGTAACTAATGTAAGCAGACGAAAATTGTATCTCCAAAACATTGGAGAGTTCCACATTTACCGTATACGCTCTAAACACCGCGTGAGTTACTATGACAATAAAGGGTTTTTTAACTAAGACAAATCTTAACTAAGTTTTTGCTAAGATCGTTTTGTGATCCACTTAAGTAAGCGATCTTAGCTAAGTCTAAATCTTAAATTTAAGTCAAAAGTCTGACTTAAATTTAAGACAGTTTCATGATCCCGGAGCCAGTATTTTTTTTTTCATCAGTTAAACTATGTCTAATACCCTCAAGAAATTGTGTTGAGTGGACTCTGACTCCAATACTAAATTAATTCAATCGCTCATTTTTATCACTTGATGCATGTTGGTGTACTTCTCTTAATAGTTATACATGTGCCCATGAACCTAATTGATTTATGAATTTACCATTATGCGACGCTGCATTATTGACCTTCAAAGGTTCTGATTAACTTTTAACAGTTTTATTTCAACAAAGCTGAGATTTATGCAATTTTTTCACTTCATACAAGATTACTAGTGATTGAATAAATATTAATGTTAGGTTTCTATTGGATATGCAAGTAGACCATTCCGTTGACATGAACTAAAGTCCACACCTTTTAAATAAACTTGGTTCAATATATTTTATTTTTTTCATTCCAAATATTGTTGAATTATATAAATTGTAAATAAATATTTTCAATAGGGTTAATTATGAACATACTGTGAATTGTACATGCATTTTTTTTTACCAAAATGAATGAACAATTCTATTCAAAGTACATGTACTTTTTGTGGAAAATAGTATATAAAAATGCATATATTAATAAAACATCCATACAATATAAGTCAAAGCAACACATGTCCTGATAAAGGTAATACGAGAAGGAGAACATTTACTTAAAATATCGTAAGTAAAACAGATTCTCTTTCCTCCTAATCGAATTTTTCCAGGAAGAATACAATGCATTATCCATCTGTGGATTACAATTTGTATTTCAAATGTTTGTCTTAGCACATCGTGTTATTTCACATTTTATTCGGTTGACTTTTCAAATTCTTTGAAGTTCTTATTTAAATGGGGCATTTATTTATGAAACAAATACTTAGCAACATTTTCTTGATCAGTGATTACATGATGAAATATAATATTGCTAAAACGCTGTCTTGTTCATTCATATGCAATTGAGCCTTATTTCATGCAGTTCAAAATATATTCTAATACATAATTGTACTTCAAAATATATTCTAAAACATAATTTCCGCCGAAACATGGCTGAAGTATTGCCGACTCGGCGTTAAACAATAAACAATCAATCAATCAATCTAAAACATAATTTGACTTGAAGCAAATATTTATTGTTATTGTTATTACAAAACACATTCAACCGAGGTCCTGTTTCGCAGGAGGTGCTGGCACGAAATGGATACCTTACTGCTAGATGGCCCTGAGTGCCGAGTATAGGTCTAAATTTAAAGCCCTCCACTGACAAGTGGTGGCGTCTCCATATGAGTGAAAAATTCTCGAGAGGGACGTTTAGCAACAAAGACAAAGGAATAAAACACATCATTTTCCTTTTTTTCCAATTCCCGAACAAATTAATATATTTGTATTTATCAAATCTTTAACTTTTAAAAGGTTTTACTTTCAGTAAGAACTGGTGCCATAAAATCGCAACCGATATTTTCTAGATTAAAAGGAAACACTCTTCTGTGCTAGATTTATTGCAGAAATGTCACTGGAAGGTCCTGGCCCAAAGACTATAATATGAGAACAAATTACATGTAAGTAAAGACTTAGATATTACATCCTGATTTTCATTTAACAAACACGTTGGCATTATCTGTAAATACAAAAACATGATGATAATTTTGTCAAAAATTTTGACGGTTAAGGAAGGAATTATGTAACGTAACAAGAAAAAAATATTCATTTACCACAAAGAAACAACAAAAGTTTTTAATTAATAAGATAAATTGATGTTTCTTATCACCTTCTTCCTGTTTCAATGATTCTTGAGTATTTGGAATGTTAGATCTATTATACAGAGGTGAAACCATCAATCTCCTTGAGAAGGTACGTATTGTCGTTCTGTACATATTGTCGCTGGTGACAATACATGTGTGTACCTTTCCTCACTATAGCTATTCATACATATTGTTACTAGCGGCAATATGTACCGAAACGAGCCTTTTTTTCTCCTCTGAATGGATGACAAAATGTGCAGTCAAAATCGACACATATTTAGTCGGCAACTGTATGTACTGTGAACATTTGCACATTTTGTCGCCAATATATTGTTTTAAAGAAAATTAACTATGGTCTATAACAGAGAGACTGTCACACATAAAAAGAGAGAGAGGCTATGGCAGATAGGATAGGAAACAAGCAATAATATAGGAGGGAAATTTTTTGGTCAAAAAACTCTGTCCAGGCTCGATGTACTCCGGTACGGTATGCCAAGATACGGGAGTTATGGATTTATCTGATTAATATTAATAATGTATATATTTTGAAATTGAATGTTGACTTTTGTGTTCATAAGAAACAATGATCTGGATTATACTTTTTTGTAATTTGTACGTTTACCGATATTATCAGTAGTCTTGATGAGAGAGAGAGATTCCTGACCTTTTATCAATTGATATGAACCATGTTATTTGCACTATTCTCCTCTTCATATTATTTCGTGTACAAATTTATATTAAATGTAGCGTTCATTGTAGTTGGAAAACTGACAAATTAGCGAACTCATGAAACTAAATTTATTGTTTTCGATATCATTATCATCATCATGCATATTTCTGAAATCATATAGTTGAGCGACAATATGTGCAGTTGAGGTAGGCACAAATTGGTTCAAGCAACAATTTGTACATGATTGTATAATTTTTCAGCCGGCAACAATATGTACCAATGGACGACAATGTGTACCATCATAACCGCGCTGCATGATAGCCTTCAACACACGTCTGTGTGATTTACTCACCAATTATATTCACAAAACTACAAAAAAATTCCTAAACAACCCTTACTGTGGAGCAACAATTTGTGTAGTGAAGGAAGGTATATAATGTCGCCAGTGACAATATATACATATATGTATGGTTTTAAGCCGGCGACAAAATGTGTCGATTGACGACAATATATGCAGTGATCTGAGGGTAGGTGCATATATTGTCGACGACGACAATATGACTGTACAAGAACGACAATATGGCCCCTCACACTCCTTTCTTTTTTATTGCTACCTTTATTCCAGTAAATTGATCTATTATGGAGAATACCTTACAAATATTCTATATTCTGAAAAGCAGTCTTCAGAAGAACTGAGAATTGGATGAACTTAATGTTAACAATGGTTTTGGAATGGTTTTGGAAAATACCTATTTCTTTTAATGAAAGCTCAGAAAATACACTATCATTCATTTAGAGTTTAAGTATATTAAATGCAAATACATGTGTATCTAAAAAAAAAAAAAAAAAAAAAAAAAAACAAACAAAAAAAAAAAAAAAAAACAATAATTTATAGCTTTACGATTTTTTAATTCGGTTCAGTATTTCCAATTCACAAATCGCAAAAAACAACTGCACAATGTATTTTTTTTTTTTCAAATTTTATAAGCAGTCTAATTTCAAATTACAAGAGTGTTGTGAAAAAGGATTATGAAAATAATAACGTAAAAGAAATTGAAAGAAACATGTAAGCTTAATTTAACTTAATTTAATTTTTCTATATCCCGAATAGTGGCGCAAAAAATAAAACACATACAGGAAAGAACTCCAGCATACATTAAGTTCCCTTACTGCATATTTAGGTTGGCAAATACCTCGGTTTACCTGCAGTCGTCACATTGAAATTTTAAAGCGCCCGTTATCTCAAATATTTCCATGTAATCGATTTCTAAACACCCAAACAAAATGGCGCTGTTTAGCGCATCGTTCCTTGTAGGACTGACAATTATTCATTGTACATCGAGTTTGCACTGGTAAGATTTTATTAGATTAATTAAAGGTCCAATCATAATTTTTAGAATTATGATATTTTTGCTTAAAAATTTAATTAAACTGTACGTGTTATACCCTTATACAAACTGTTAATTTATTAAAAGATCTACAGTTAGAAACATTGCCATGAGTTCATAACTTAATATTATAATATTATCAATTTAAGATTGGTTTGTACCGCTAGACTTTCCATTCCAGATACGAAGTGATCTTTGCTATTTTATTAAAATTACTACAGCGATTAGTTACGTTTTAATCATTTTTTGTATATTGTTTTTTTAAAATAAATATATCTTTTTCTGAACTTCCTACAAATATCAAAGTCGCCTCACTAAGACGTACATTATACCTGGATATTTGTTTGTAAGATCGATACGTTCATGTTTGCATTCATTATTGCGTTCTAGATCTTCCTGGTACTCACAGATCTTGAGGATTATGTACATTAACTTTGCACTGTCTTTATATATTGCGCCCCGTGTCATACGGTGACTGGCGCTGATAGGTGTAATAAAAATGCTTAATCAGGTTTATCACCCCCTGTCTTTATAATTCAAGAACAAGAAAGCCAATACAAAAAAAACTTCCCTACACATTTATGACCAGAACACTTGAAAGCCAAATATTACCTTGTTTGTTAAGATATTGATAACGAAAATGGATTTTTTGTCACCCAAATTTTTCCATTACTAAATAACTTCAAATTCATTCCATGTTTCTTTCTAATAACATAATGTTTACTTGTCAACATGTAACTACCAGTTTTGTTCTCCAATGAGTCTGAGTTCATTTGCAATTAAAAGAAAGAACAACTTAGTTTTGTGAGAAAGGTCATTTATTCAATTTACCACAAATATATTTGATCAGTTGATGACATTGTCAAAACTTCGACGGGATAAAATGAGCTGATTTATTTAGATAAAAAAATTCAATATAAAAAGTGTTTGACATGCACTGTATGCGTACTCACACTATGAAGGGGAAAGGGGGTATTGTAATACAGAAAACATTTGCGATTAAATACATCATATCTTTTGTTTTATTTTACGGTGGTATATTTAGGCAATTACTCCTTTTACTTCTTATACTGGAAACTGTTTTGTTGTTCGTAGAGATAGTTTCTTGTTCGCACGACTTACTATCTCGTTGGTACGACTTTTATATTTAAATTGTGCTGACAGCTTCATTTCATGTACCAATTAGCACTGTAAATTTCTTGATTATAAATTTTTATAGTGGAAATTTATCGTAAATCATGAAAAATTAAACTTAAATAATAATAATTGTTATAACTTTAAAAATGTGTTCCTATATAAATCATTGTTATACCCTTATAGATATCTTTCTATATATTTACTACTAATAAAAAGTCCAACAAAAGAAATGTTTATTGCATCGGTCTAACAATTTTATTGATGACCGGCCTGCCAGTCCAACATAAGAATTGTTAGACCGCAACGTCACTACCACGTCACAAGTAATTAATCGTCGTTCAATATCGGCGACTCGGAAATAGCCGAAGTTTAGAGCCGTAAGAATTGTCGTTTGCTATATGAAAGAGTATGTTTTGTAATAAATAATTTTTATGATATAATACTTTTATTATTGATTTTTTCATTTTCTCCTATTGTTTTATTTTTATTGATTAAGCCAAAGAAACTAATTGTTTATATATTGATTAAAACTGTTCAAATATTTTCATTTTAATTCTTCTATCTGAAGTGAAGGGTATAACAAAACAGTTATAGACTTGGATTCGGGCTACATATAATTTTCCGGACCTGAAGGTGAAAATGTTGCCCTTTGCCTGCGACCTCGGGCAACATTTTCATCTTCAGGTCCAACAAATCATATGTTGCCCTCATACCCAGTCAATAACTGTATAATACTAATGAAAGTTTAACATTTCCAATGTTTTACTGAGCGGGCATATAAAAATCGATGTTTGACCGCAGAGTGAGATATTGGACCTATGTCGATGAGATGTTGGACCGCTTACATCACATAATGGGCGGAGTCAGCTAAATCTCATTTGCTTTCGTTGGTATATGTCAAAAAAAGTAATAATAAAATAAATAGATAAAAGGTATTACAAAAACATTTATTGACTGTGTTCTCGGGTAAAATGGGTTTTGTCGACCCCTCGAACCAAACTGTTTGCCTTCGGCCTAAAGGCCTCAGGCAAACAGTTTGTTTTTTTTGGGGGGGGGTCCAACAAAACGCAGTCAATAAATGTATATTGTAGTGATAAAGAGGGTTTTTAACTTTTTATTCATTTATCAGCTATAGAAACATTCAACTTGCTATGATTATGTTTAAGATCGTAACCCAGGGGTTTTCTCTACGTTACACTACGTTGAATGTGGTGTAACGAAGAGAAAACCCGTGGGTCCCGAAGATGATTTGGCATAAAATATTGACATATCATTTGCGGTACTGCTTTTTAAAAAGACTTATAAACTTTTTCGTGTTATCTTGCATCATCAGTTTTAAGTTCTTCAATGAAAGCCCTAGCTTAAGGGATTATACACAGGGGAGGGGGGGGGTAAAAATATTTTCATTTTCAAACAAGGTTAAGTTTTAATTAAGAGTGAGAGGTACAAATAATTTATACCCGTTTATAGTTTGTGACTCATTTTAAATGCAGGCTATCGATGGAATTTGCTTTCCACTCCCTAGTGTTTTCCAAAATGATTTGTTATACTTTCAGACTTTACAGAAGCAGATCAAGCAAATTAAAAAAGGTTTCGGGGTCCAGAAATGGGATCTTGGATCCACAGGAGATTTTATCTAAACTTTATTTATTATAGAAAAACTGTCACAAATTAAACAGTATATGTAATACATTTCTCTTTTTCCCTCATCCAAATATATACTGAAGTCAGCTTCTGAATACCCAGACTTTGGTCAGTTAAATATATGATCAGTGCAATAAGTCGTGCGAACAACATCTCGTGCGAACAACATAATATTTTCCAACATAAAAAGGAAGAAAAATTGCATGTCCTAAATATGCCACTGCATTATTTTGTCTTAGAACCTATTATTAATTTTAAAAGAGAAGCAAGATTGAGATTAGACTGATCAATTTCAGGTTTAACAATTAGACAAAATAGAAAATTCTTTTGTGCAATACTTTAAGTGTTCTTTTGTTTGTTTGTTTGTTTGTTTGTTTTTTTATTCTAAATTATCTTTATTCAATACAATGCGAAATATATCACATTGCTCCGCATAATGTCTTTAATTTCTGCTGAATAACTTAAACAATTAGAAGTTCATTTCACATTTTTTTTTCAATCCTCTTTTCTAAATATAAAAAACATTCCTGCAAAAAAAATTATAAATGTAATTTGATTTAAAACCTGTATTTTTTTCAAATTGAAACAATATACATGTACATGAAAAAGATTCTTCTTTGATAATTGTTAAATGAGGCATTTATTCTTAAAGTCCGGCTTTAAAGATTTATAATTTCAAAACTTTTAATTTAAGACTTAAAGCTTCGTATCAAGCACAAGGCTCGATTATTCATAAATATTTTACTTTTTCCCATAATTGTTCTTCATTACCTTTCCTTTTTGTTTAAAACCTTTGACAGTACCACGTATTTTATAATACACCGTATTATCACTTACAATTATAGGTATCAAACATTGACACCCCTGGGATTAAATCATTGCCCAGAAACTGGGGGAGAGGGAAACTTCTGCTACGATCTGATCCAATCAAGTAACAACTGCTCTTACATCTGCGAATACGCCAGACCTCTGGAATTTTTCTTACGAGATATGTGAGTATTTAAAATGATCATATTTGAGCATTTTACCATATTATGATACGTACAAAAAATACAATATTTTATACTCAATATTTTAAGTTTGTTCATCGTGGCGGAAAAAATAAGGATTGGCTGAATATACAAATTTCTCTAAACTGGATTTAGTCAATTAAAATATACATCTTATATATGTAGCCATCTTGAAAAAAAATCAATTCATATTTATTCAAAAAGCAACAGCATATACATGTACATGTCCCAAAACGTTTCCTTTCAAAGAAAAAAACTCCTTGTGATTAAAAACTTCATATTCCTTTAAGATGGGCTCATAACCTAATGCTATGATACTATAATACAGTATACTTAGTAGGGTGAGATTGTCTGTTAATTTTTATACTATTTTTTACTATAAATACCAATGTATTTAGATCTTTATAGAAAGATAATGATGACCCGAATGTTTAACTTTTTAAAGCCTCAGATATTATAATTTTTGAAAGTTAAAATGCATTTCAGAGTTTTTAACATTTTTGATTCGATAGAACTCTGAAGAAAAAGAAGAATAACATTGGGGTATGATTAAGTTTACTTCGCGGGCAAGTAGAGATTTAAAACACGTTTAGTGAAGGAAAAATTGAATGTCAAAAGAGATGAAAATTGTCGTCATATGTTTTTCGTCCACTGAATCATGCATGTTCGTAAAAGTCCTTCAGTACAGAATATTCGTAAATCATTTTTTTCCTCAAGATGTTGGGCGAATTTATTTATCTGAATGTATGTACTGTACTTAATGAAAATCGTCATACGAAAGTCATTATAACATTTTTGGTCAAATTGTGAAAGAAGAAACATCGTCCGAAATAACGAAATTTGCACAGATTAGGGAAAAAATCATAAAAGGGGAATATAACGGTGGACTTTGAATGACAGAAGTTAACCTAATTCACACGCAATCATCAGAGATTTAGCAATGTCTACAATTCAGAATAATTTATCCCTCATATGAATTATTGCGCACTACCCTTATAACAATTTATGATATCCTGTGACCCGTTAATAGTAGCCAATAAAGTAGAATTCCTATTGACATTGGAGTGGGACAATTCAAATAAATCAGTCGAATTAACCTGTCACAAGTCATTTTCTTTTCCTGTTTCAAATAATAGAGAAAACACAAAAAACAAATAGTTTCTAAAAACGGTGCATATGTAGCTCTTTGTGTTACCTATATTGGTTTCCAAAAGAATAAATTAACCACAAAAGCTATTTATTTAGCGGAGAAGATTAATATGTCAGGGATGATCGATACGTGAAATCAAACATTTTTATCATAAAACGTTATGAGTTGGGTTTCTTTTTTTACTTTTTTTTTTTTTTTTTTTTTTTTTTTTTTTTTTTTTTTTTTTTTTTTTTTTTGCTGTGAGTTTGATAAGTAATCACACCAATGTTGAAACCTTGTATTGGAATTTTTCAGAATTAATCTAAGATTTTTTTTATCTTTGAGTGAAGTAATATAGATATGGTAAAGCATTTTAGCTAGTGATGCATGGTTACACGATTTAAAATGAAATAATCTTTCAATGAATGAAGCATCCAACTATTTTTTTTACCATTAACCAATGAAATATGGAGACAACGAAAAATAATCAAGCTTAAAAGTTCATTGAAACAATAAAAATCAGGATCAGAGCAAACATGGACCTCTAAAAACATCAAAGGTGGGATCAGGTACCATGGAGGAGTAAGTATTCCCTGTCGTCCGGTCACACCCCGTGTGCTTATTGTCATGATCTGGCGAACAGAAAAAATCCTGTAGACAATTCAGTGTTTAAATAATGGCCTAACAATTCGTATGAAAAAACTTAGTCAGCATTCGACTTTATGATAGATTGTATTGGCTGACAAGGTAATTGTATCGATCCTAGAACTTGCGAAATCATGACTTTAAACGAGGCCATTGATATCCCTGTTTCATCAATTTGTTTGTCAATAGCTTGCCTCGTTTTTAAGAAATTGTTGGTAAGTGGAGCATGCTCTTGCGTATCGAGTCAACTGGGAGCTACGATGAAAAAATACGATTCTATTCTATCTATTAATCATTAATCTTAACTCTTTTCCTCATACAAATCATTTTAAAAATCAAATTAGTGTAGTTAAAATAGAAAGTGTGCTCTATTTATTTCGATAATAATAAAATATAACATTTATACCAGTTATAATCTATGCGAACATCCCGAGTGGCCATCCTCTAAGAATATTCGATGTCATTACTACCAATGCCAGAGAAAGTGCTGTAGTGGATGGGCGCTGGATGACTATGGAAGATGCACTGTTGGTAAGTCTTCCATGACTGCAATGACGTACACGTAAAATGATGATTGCTTTGACCAGGTGTATTATTTAAAACCTTCAATAAACACCTAGTGAACATACTTTCATTTCATGTACTGTTGACGTTCAAAAATTTCTTTTAGTTATTTCAAGTGGTAAAGTGTAAGAGAATGTAAAAATATGCAGCGTTAAAGAATAATTGTATTTTATAAAGCCCAAGATTGAATTAAGTATTTTGTTACATATTGTACCTTGAGAAGCCAACAAAAAAATATGAGTATTATTGAAAATTCCCGAAAACATTAATTTTAATGCAAAATATTATGTTACAGATTTATAAAACAGGACAGAACACTAAATTATTTAGTGACAGTATAATGAATCGATATCTTAATAAATTGAACATGCATGATAGTGAACCAGGCGATTTTGTGGGAATTAGTACACCTGATTTAAAACATTTCTTTTCATTTCATTCCTTTCATATTTGGATAAGGAGACAGGTAATTGTATTTGCATGTTTTTTCTGTGTTTCAGAAAGTAAAGGAATCGAGTGTCTCAACGGCGGAACACCATTTGGTGATAATTGTATATGTCCAAAGCATTTCGTGGGCAAACAATGTGAAACAGGTAGAATCCGATTATGTATGTATGTAGATGTAGTCAATCACTTCTAAATATGAATATATGTATAAATACGTGTAACTTAATGTTTTCAAATTTTATATCTTAATAATCTTGAAATCCATCGAATCCAGTTTATTTTTGGATTTTGTGACTAAAATTAATTCTTTTTTTTATTATTTCAACTTATCGTTATTAAGCTGTCTGTGGAGGAGAATGTCTTAATGGCGGTGAATGTAGGAAAGTTGATCCCCTGTCGCCTCCGAAGTGTATCTGTTCAGCCAATTTCACGGGTCACCTGTGCGAGAAACGTGAGTATATGTTATATTTCTACCAAAATATTTCTTCAAAATGAATCATAATTATAAATTTTTGTATGAAACATATTTGTATATACATGTATATGTATGTATAGGCCCTAGCAAATATCTAGTAGGTATCAATCAATTTAGTACTTTGCCCAAATATGGCACATTTCAGGATTTTTCGGGGGGGGGGGGGGAGGGGAGTTAACTATCATTTACAATATACAGTCAAAGCTCGTTATCTCGAACTTGATCAGACAAAGTAAAGACTTCGAGATCTCCAAGAATAAAGAGGTTAAAATACTTAAAGACTTTCAAGTGACTTCGACATATCCATGGTATTTGAGATATCAATGTTAGAGATACCGTTCAACTGTACAGAGATGATGAAAATTAACAAATTGAAGGAAATTTAAGAATTGTAAAGATATAGATTTCATTAAGAGAAAATTTCATTATGTAAAAAAAAGAGTGAATTCAATTGGTTTTACAATATTCATTATTATATTTTATTATCTAAGTGTAGAATTCTTACAAACGTACTTCACTCACTTTCAGCTGTCTGTGGTGATGGTTGCCAAAATGGCGGTTCCTGTATTTCGCAATATTATGGAGTAGCTTGTAAATGTCAACATGGCTTCCTTGGTCCTTGGTGTGAAAAGAGTAAGTAGTTTATCATGCATTGATAAAATATCCTCTTTAATGTTTTCGTTATATCCTCGTTAATGGTTACACAGTTACAATGTAAATTATAAAATCCTTTGCTGCTTCGGTTAAGCTATTCCATCATCTCTGGCTTCCATTCACTTTATATGGACATCTTATGCACTTCGGTTGTCATTCTCTCAAAGACCTTTTAACTCATCATAAAAGTCTATATTAATACATTAAATTCTTTTCCATATTTAGCATAAACATTTAGAGGTAAATTAAATTTCATATGAAACATTCCTTTGTCTATTTATATATCTTTTGTTTTCAAATCAGTCATAAAAATAAATGTTAATTGTCAGTTTTCAAATACTGAACCTTTTTTATTCTTATTATCACTGTATATCACTGTGCTTCACTAGGGCGTTGTGATAAATGCCATTTCATCCACGGAAATTATGACACTTCTTGCTCGCATACCTGCAAGAGCGACGATGACTGCCAGAGAGAAGAAACTTGCTGTGAACATGAAGGCAGAAACATCTGTGTAGTCAAAAGAGAGGTATCATATAAACATCTGTGTAGTCAAAAAAGGGGTATTATATAAACCACCCTAATGATTTTTCTAGTGTTATTTTGATACTTAATTTTATTTGAATATTTTACTTGTTTTCTGTACACTTCTTTTGAATTGGGGTTTGATAAGTGAGTTGAAAAAGCATTTAAATGAAGGCTTGAAAATTATCCCGAAGATGTAAATTCACTTGATGTTTTTATAATATAAGTAGAGGCATCCTGTCCGCATCCATTGAAGATGAATTTGTACTTTTTTTAAGTAGATCACGAATAAATAACGAAATTGTAAACATGAACGGTTGTTTTATTATTTGTGGATAAAATATAGTTTGTTTAATGATTCAGATATCATACGTGAATGCAAATACGTGACTGTATTTAATGGTATATCGTATCATAAGTGGATTTAATAATTGGTTACTTCTTATATTCTCACTTTCGTCTTCGTTGATAATCTGTCGTTTTTAAACAACCACTAAGAGTCTAAGATGTTCAGTTGCCTTTTCAAGGAACTATTTTCAGTATTTTGATTAAAAAAAAAAGGAGGAAGAATTCACACACACGCATATGTATGGAATAGTCTGACAACATTTCTGATTTCCATAAAAAAGGTCTTTTAAGAATCTTGACTTTCATGAAATTTTAATTCTTATATTTTTAGGAAGTCCTTCAGATCAATCATAAACCATTATGTTTACTAAAAAATCTTTTTTTTTAAATCTTGTTAATTTCCTATTACAATTACTGTCAATGATATCTTTCCATATCTTTTACAATGTAGCTAAAGTACATGAATATTCAAAGAGTACTAATTGAATACATTTTAGAAAGCCCACCAAAAATGTATTTATGGCAGAAAAGCAGTTTACGTCGGTGAAAGTATAACAAACATATCTGGTAAAAAGTGTCTCTGCATGCCGGGATATATTTATGGCAGTCTTAACTGCGATGAAGACGTTTGTGAGGAAGATGATGAAGAAGAGAACACGTGCATTCACCATGGAGATGGGATAATGCACGACAATGACAAGGTTGAAGAGGAAATTTCTGGTAACCTTTCAAATACTCTTCTTATGCTCTCTGTATTAGTAATTCAAGTTAGTAAGAAAAGTAATATAATTTTTTTAACTGTGTTTGCACATTGAGAGTAATTAAAATCAGTGAGAATTTTGTTTAATTTCAAATTTCAGATGATATCCTGTATGAGCGTAAGTGAAATTTAAATATTTGATTTTAGCTTACCTGAGCTGAAAGTTCAAGTGAGCTTTTCAGATCGCCCGTTGTCTGTCCGTCCGTCCGTCTGTAAACTTTTCACATTTTCGACTTCTCAAGAACCACTAGGTCAATTTTAACCAAACTTGGCACAAAGCATCCTTGTGAAAAGGAGATGGTAAATTGTTGAAATAATGGACCAAGTCATCTTCCAAGAGAAGTTAATCACCAAAAGGCACAAATAGAGCGGTGTCATTAAAAATCTTCTTTTCAAGAACCATTGGGCCAGTAAAGGTGAAATTTAATATGTGGAAGCATCCTAAGAAAGTGCAGATTTTAAATTGTTCAATTTATTACCCCACCCTCCATCCCCAAGAGATATAGTGTTGCCAAACAGGGGTTGAAAGTTTTACTTTTAAATATATATAAAAGTCATTAAAAAGCTTCTATACTAAAGAATATTCTAAATTATTCAAATGGACTAGGGGTAGGGTGAGAGCACACAATAAAGAATAAAAGTTTTACACTGAAATATACAGGAAACATGTTTACAAAAATGTTCTTTTCAAGAACCATTGGACTTGAAAAGGCAAAACGTGTGTGAAAGATATAAAGTAGTTTGTAAATTGTTCAAATTATGGTCCCGGGGTAGGGTGGGGCCACGATGCGGGTTCAGTTTCGCATGGAACTAGTGGAGTTTTGTTTTTGTTTTTTTTTTTTTAAAGATCTTCTAAAGAAACACAGTATAACCATAACTTTGCAAACATTAAGAAGTTGTGTGGAATTTTCTTTTTTCAAAATTATTTTCAAATTATGGACAAGGTTAAAGTTGGATAAAATCAGTATCAAATTTTACATATTAAATGTATATAGGAAAAGAGGCTTCTTCTCAAATAAATGCAAGGCTATAATAGTCATTTTGATATTGCATCCCCATGGTGTGTAGATTCAGAAATCCTTTGAGTTAGGGTCGGGTCAGAATATGGAAACACAATTTTTCAGGGGAATATAAAAATATTTTGAAAGTTTTCTGAAAAAACAGCAGGACTAAAGTAACTCAGGTGAATAATGTGGCCCATTGGCCTCGTTATGAAATCATATCAATATTTTTTCTCAATTCATTTTATTTCAACAGAAATATAGTAAATACTAACAATTAACACACTTGAAGTTTCCTTAATAATTTCAAAATACTGACCTTTTTAGTAATCAGTCAGGAAATACAAGCTATGATACAATACTTCAATCTGAAATCTGATTTTTTTTTAGTATCTGAAATATTTGATTTTGTAGTTCCCAGAATTTACAATTGTCCATCCACATATTCAAGAGTGATGGTAGAGGTCCAGGAGGATTCCAATGTAGCTCTTATGTACCACCAATTCAAGGCAATAAATTACCTTGGAAGAGAGCTTCAGGTGTATGTTAGCCAGCAGAAGTTCTATGCCTGCAACTGTTCGTATGGTCAACGTGTTAGGGCCAACGCTACTGCTGTTGATCAACATGGTGGCAAAACAATTTGTTGTTTCACTGTACAGATTGTGGGTGAGATTGAGTACATGTATACCATATGTATCGGGACTTCGATATAAAAATCTTTTCAAACTAAAGTCTAAACAAAAGTGCATGAGATAGACAGTTTAACGTTATTATTTACATTATTTACTGACTCTTTACTTGCTTATCACTCATTTCATTAGTATACATGTATTACTTTATTAAATAGCATGTATGACTTATTCTATCCAATTTAAGATCGTTATCCTCCCAAACTATCTCACTGCCCCGTGGATATATATGCCATAGCAGGGGAAAGGATATCCTGGACGATTCCAAAGGCCACGGACAACGTGGGTATCAGGGACCTATGGATAGAACCTAGAGTTCATAATGGATCTCGTATTGAAACTGGTGATCACATGTTTCGCTATGTTGCGGAAGACTGGCATGGCAACAGAGCAGAATGCAGGTTCCTCGTCAGTATAAAGAGCGCGGGTAGGTAGTTGTCATGGTAATTTTACAAACAACATTTTCAAATACTAGTATTTGATTGAAACTGATAACATAACATAAGAGTTAAACTTCTCTTAGCAGGCTTAAATTCTTGGAAGACAATTTTTGAAATGAAAGCAATACTGTATCTAATTTATCATACAAAATTAACAGATCGTACAAGTAGCATATAAAATAAATTGGATTTTATTTACGGTTGACATAAATACTCTGTATTCTTCATGAAAAGCACAATTAACTTCTTGGTACCATTTTAACATCAGTTTTGTTTCTAAGCTTTACAAAGCAATGGTAATTTTCAGACTCCTCAGAAAACGGATGGTCATCTGAACTGAGGTCCCGGGTAACAACAAACACTCCTGTCATAATAGGTATGTTTGGCTCTCTATGATAATGAAATTATTGTATTGTTTATTTTCCTTGTAAATATTCATAGAGGAACATTTACGAATGAAATGATCATTTACACGCTTGAACCAAATTGAGAGTGAATTTTGAGTTTTCAAAATTATTAACCATTCGCCAGAAAAATGAAAGCACTGATATTTTTTATACTGGAAATGAGTGCAATAACATTTTTTTGGAAAATCTTTCCTAAAGAGACTTTACTTGATAAAAAAAAAAATCGAAACGACCATTAAACAAAAGTACGGATACATGATTTGTTCTTTCTAAATAAATGAAATCATAATTGCTTTAAAGGGGCCTGGACACAGTTGCATTGCAGTTTTGTTTATAATTTTAAATTTCTATATTTATTCAAAAAATAACTTCATTTTAATGAATTTAAATTGCATGAAAAAAAATTAAACCTCAATGACCAAGATATTCTTCATATTACCATTAAGTAAAAAATCTGTGTCTGTAAACATGTGCACGAGCTCTGTTATTGTTAATGTTTACGTTTTTCAGGGTGTGTTCAAAATTAATGTTAACTCTGCACACATCACTGAACATAAACTGACAAAACTGAAGTGTTAGTTTTGCTGCCTCACATTTTTAATCTGAATGCTCTGGAATATAGTTTTATTTTTTTTTATTTATACACAATCAATTTTCCACATTAACTTAAGAAAAAATTCTACTTCATGAAAGTGCAAGGATGTGTCAATCAAACGCGTCCCAAAATTCCATTTTTCAGATAAAAGAAGTTCCTAAACACAAATTCAAAATAAATTGGTCTGAAATCCCCTAGCAACATGTTAGTCATGATCTTATATCAAAAATTTTAAAAAATATTAACTTGAAGTCTGTGTCCAAGCCCCTATGATATACAAGTTCGTTAGCTATTCAGTAAGGACTAATAAACGTTTCATCATCGCCATCTTAGGAGCAAGTGTTGTGGGAATCATGGCGATAGCACTTCTGGTCATACTCGTAGTGGTTTTCCGCCTCTGTAGAAGAGCCAGGATTTTAAGGAATCGCCCATCAAGAACTCATGGAACAGTACTCTCCACCACACAATCACAGCAGTTAGACGCTTGCTTATCCGAACCTCCGCCATATGAGGTCGCTGCAATCGATAAACTTCCAGACTACAAACCACGTGATGACCCACCCATATATGAAGATATCTGTAATGTAAAGAAAAACAGTGAAGAAATCGGAGGATGCACTAATCCAATCTATACAATATCAGGATCAAGCGATAATATCCATGGAGTTCCGGTGAACACGAACACAATTGTCACTGATGTTTAACGCTCTCAGTGAACTGAGTTGTTTTCCTTTCTTTTGTAGCATAATATGTAACCTCTGTGTATTGCATTGTTTCAAGATTATTCCTACAATTTTATGAATTGAAATGATTAAGATACTTTTTTATTTCTTGAACAGCTTTTATTCTTGCATTTTCATTTTGTGCCATTGGACTTTTAAACATGTCGAATTTGATGATTTAAACCGTGAATAGTTTCTGTATACGTTAACCAAGACATATTTGTACATGGTAACACAAATTTAACTACACATGCATTCATGATATTGTATTTAAATCAAAATAGTAATTTATATCTTAATGATTTTAGTGCTTAAAATCTTATTCCTTTTGTTAAATTTATTCTTTGTTGATTTTGTGAAAGATTAAATGAAATTCAATCTATGAAGAGCTTTCCTGTTTTATATATTTATCCTCCTTTTTTTAAAAAAAGAAACTTTAAAAATTTGTAATGAACATGGTTGTAAAAGAAATATATGATTATAGATTTAATTGTTCAAAAAGGTATGAGGCAATGCGTAAGTTAAATAAATGCTTTAAAATAAATGTATCTTATATCTACATGGTAATAAAATTCGACAAAATCCTCCTTTCATAAATGCTTCATGGTTTAATCAGTTGTCCTGATTATTACAATAAACTTGTTATGTATAATTAGCAATATCTCCTATGGGACTGGTTTCCAGTTAATTGAATACAAAAAAAATTATCATTTCAATTAATCATACAAGGAGATCAAATTTTATGACAAACAGAAAAAAGAGCATCATGCCAACAAGTTATACCATTCATGACCATAAAACAATTGCAGGTGCTGCATTTCTCATTTGATACTTACGGAAGCCCATTAGTGCCAAGTCTGCCAACCTGTATATACATGTATAAACTAAAAGCTTTATATAAAAGCAAAACTCAATATATAAAGGAAATGCGAAATAAAAAAAAACTCGATATATATAAAGGAAATGCGAAATAAATATATATACCAAACCTCGATATATATAAAGAGAAATGCGAAATATACAAACAAAACTTGGATATATATAAAGAGAAATGCCAAATGTGAAAACAAAATCTTGATATATATAAAGAGAAAATTTTCCATCGCCTGACATTTCATGACCTTCATTACATCAGGTATTCGCCAACATCTGATAAGCGGTTTCCCGAGCTACTGTTAGAGTGCAAACGGTTGATGTGGCTCAGTTTCAGGATGGTATTCAGTGTATTGTGTTTTCTTTATTTGTATGTCTAAATATGATGATTACAACTAAAGCTAATAAACTACTGTTCTTCTTACATTTCAAACGTGTGGAGCAGAATTGAATCAAAGAGACATTTTTGCTCAAAATGTATATTCCATAGCACTAAAAATTGGGGGTCTTTTCAATTGAAATATAATTCAGTGCAAAAATGCATTTGTGTTATCTGTGTAATCTTGATGGAGAGCTGAGCGATACAGGTCACGCAGTGGAAAATGTTCTCTACATATATTTCCTATTTCTCTTTATATATGTTGAGGTTTTGTTTCTATATTTCGCATTTCCTTTATATATTTCGAAGTTAAGTTGTTTTTTTTTTATTTCGCATTTCCTTTATATATTGAGATTTGCTTTTATATATTGCTTTTCCTTTATATATACAGGTTGGTACTAATGGGCTTCCGTAGATACTTGACCATAACAAATGTATCAAATGAGATATGGAGTACCGGGATTATAATTCTATAAATTTTGCATCATAACATTAAAAGAGTTGTAACTCTTGTATAGCTTCCAAGCTCTGCGGTTCATAACGTGTTGCATTTCCTGGCCTGGTGATTCCCCCTGAAGCCTGTACATATTTTTTTCCTCCCACTCCATTTAACATTAGTATTTCTTAGACAAAATAGAAACCATCATTTTAAGCTCAGATATCAACCAAAATTTTTAACAAATGTGGCTTATATTTTTCCGACTTCTTAAGAATTTTAGGAAGTTATAAAAAGATTTGAAGGATATACTGATATAACTATGTCAAAATGCTTTCATTTGAAAATTTAAAAAAAAAAAAACAAAAACAAAATATTTATATGCGAAGAAAAATAGAACCAAGTTTTAATGAATTGTTTGTGACTTCCACTTGAATTATTAAATAATAATGAATTGCATCAAAATATCTCTTGTATAAATACATACCTGCACTTCCGTCCCAAAAGGAATCTAAAGAATTTTTTTTTTTAAATGGCTTATATAGATAATGAATATATTTAATTGGTTTCCTAACGATACTGTTATGAGGAAAGTCAAGACATAAACCTTCCCCTGTTGTTGCCCTCTACCAAATATCCTATAACAGTCTAAATAAAATAAACAGTAGACATTATCTGGGTTTTTTATCCAATGTGCTTTTCATTTGCTAAATAGAGAAAGTTTCACTAGATTTGATTTTGGTAAATGTAACATTTTTTTAATTAGTCACTATTCATCCTGCTGTACCTGAGATGCCAATTATTCTATTTGTATAATGATTGATTTACTGTTTAACACATATATTATATGTTAATCCTACTACAAAAATACATATACTGTAATTTAGTATAACTAGTATAATTCAAACACTGATCCAGAAATAGAGTTCAATAGGGCATTGGCCTAAAATAACAAAGTAGTAATAAGCCAAAAATATAGAAATCATACTACAAATATGGAAATAACAATTAAAATAATTTTACAGTAAATGTTTAATCAAAATATACTTTACCAAAAACAAAATGGAATCAATTCGTACTTAAATCTTACAGACTCATTATTATTAAAGTGTCAACTTTGGCTTTAAAAAATATTAAAGTAGAAACTTGTAATCAAAATAATTACATGAATGAACTCTTTAGATAAGAATGAAACAGATAATCAAGTATAAATGTTACATATCAATAGATGCTTAAGTAAAGTTTCATTGTAAATCGAAGATCCAAAGTAAGTTTTATATATATACATGTAGATTAAAATATGAATTATAAATAACTTTCATATTTCTTTTGCTAGGGTACCTCATATCAAAATATTTTTGTATATTAAGAAACTCGGATATAAGGAAATAATTTAAATTTTGGTTGTAATGCGTCTGATTGGATGATAAATTAGTTTATATCCTATAACCTGTGTTGCCTACGTCACAAACTCATCAATCCGTTTGACGTTACCTTTAAAATATGTTCAATTTTATGCCATTTTTTGAAGGAGAAATTGTCTTACTTTCTGCACTTATTGATCGAAAATTAAATCATAAGGGATAAATTTAATAGCTTTGCGGCTTATAACTCGTAAACTACACCAACCCAAATTATACTGTATTATTTGCATTTGGATAGCTATCAAATTCATTTCTTAATTTAAGAAAGTCATGTCCCAATGACTTCCTCATGTACACACTTCGATAAGTTTGGGGTAAAACACAGAAATAATTACTTTTATGTTTAGGGTAGTTCCAATGGATCATCCCATTCTGTTTACATGTATAGTTATTACAAAGTAGAGGAATTAAGTTAAAATATCGATATCATTACAAGTTTCACTGCGGAAAGTTCCAACTCACATATGCATTGATTCGAAACATTTTCTTATAATATTTTGTTTTACCAGCCACACTGGATATATCTTGGCAGCGATAGTATTTTATTGCCATCTACACTGCCCTGTACATTTATGCACCGTACTTTCTTCAGATGATGTTCATTTTAGAAATTACCAGATGGGTGCCATGAAAAGGTCAAGCGCGCATTTTATTGATCTGAATGGGGTTTGACATTGCAAATTTGATAATGTAGCATATAAATGGTGGCGTATTCAGTTCTTTTGAATTTTGGCGTAAGTGTAAGAAATGTCAATGCCTATTACTGGTCGAACCATAAACATAAACTTGAGTTTATTTTTGTAGAATTGAGATATTATTGTTCTGGCGTGATGTAATTTTTTAATTAATAATTGAAATAATTCACATTATACATTATTACACGACTCTAAATGCATGGCCACTGAATGCCTTTGTGATACGTATTTCTATGTTCATGTAATCATTGTTCGCTACATATGCATAGGACAGGAATTTTTACTTTGTTTTCACTTGAAAAACTTAAAAATAAATGCAATATATACTCTTCAATAATATTTCATTATATTCAACAGCTAAGATTAGTGTATTTTAAACTTGATAATTTCAAAACAATAGAAACAAATTTCAGAATTATAAATGAGAGCAAAATTAAGGGCGATATTTAAGTATACCCGACAATAGCCGATATCACTTAGAATGTTTAATTACATCTACATTGAACAATTGCATATCACATATTCTCAAATAATTGATAAAAATATATAGTAGAGTGTACCCTCTTAAATTGTGGCTAGTGCTAGTTAGAATAATTAGATGAAAGTGCTTCCAATTATTAAGCAATGTGAAAACCTTTTAAAAATTCTGTATTGATAGATTATCAAAGTTGAATGTTGCTAAAACATTTTATAAAATGAAAACCATTTTTTTTTTATTATTTGAAGTTTTATTAGTATTTTAAATATTCTGTCTGTAGAATGTAATATCTTAGGATATTTTTTTCCCACTAAGCCGCCTTCACGCTCAATTTTTTTTTTATTTCATCAATATTAAAAGTACATGTACGTGCATTGAGAAATAGCTTAAAGATGCATCGTTCATAATTTTCTTTGAAATTGCAACTAGTTATATTATAAGAAAAATGATTACGTCAATTTAGTATCCCATTACATCTGTATTTGACAAATAGGTAAATATACTAATATTCTTTGGGTTAACCTTCAAAAACTCATGCAAAAATTTGTTCAACACTAGATAAAGAATGTCAGTGTGCGTTTTCTTTACAACCATACCAATCCCGATTTCACAGGGGACATGTCATATTTTCCTATGACTTCGCGGTCTCAGTTTATTACTTACTCTTAAGTGCAGATTCTAGACGGTTTAAGTGTATACAACGCATTGTGTGCAGCCGCCTACCGCTATAATTGTTTAATTTCACAATGATGCATTCGATAAATGGGATTTTAGAAAGAAGAGAATCCTGTGATACCGTTAGTCAGGCTAAAAGGTGATTCGTAATTACATCAGACGACACTTAGTCCTGCTGCTGATGTTATCGAACTTTCCCGCTTTTTGTGAACATTTATATCGCGAGTACAATTGGATAAAATCGGATTTCTGCTTCAATATATTAGACGACAAAGTTTCCTACGAATATTGGATAAAGGATTTCGAGAATGATAAGTCTGCAAGAAGCAGTCGGAAATCTTACTACAGGAAATGAAACCGACGCGTTACATCGACAGTACAACTTAGAAATGTTGAACGCCAGAATTCCAAGT